AAAAAAAAAAAAAATATATATATATCATTAATACAATTTATTGCTTTTTCTTTAATACTCTGTTGTTATGATCTAATCTAGAGCAATCTATCTGTTAACATTTTTGAAAATATACATGTTTGAAAGTTGTTGCCACAAAAAACTAAAACAAAAAAAACATCTGTTTTAAAAAGTAATTAAGAGTACCAATTGGAGTTTTTAAATAAACTCATCTGGTTGTCTTTATTCAGCAGATGTGGTCAGAATTCAACACTTAATTACAAGAGAAAGTGGTTTGGTGCATCAGTCCCGCCTTTCTCTTTCATCTCAACCAGAGCTGTTTTGGAAAGCCCCGCCCACAAGGTGACGGGCTCCTCCGATTGGTGCATCACATACAGTGTGTGAACAGCCCACAATATTACTTTTTACAATACACGCTTGCATTAGTAGTATCAGATTTTATGATAACACAGGAAATGTTAATAATTGTACTTGATTAGACAAATAAAGACACATAAACCACAAAACGCATTAATACACACAGCTGGGTAGATTGCTTGAAAATTGTAATCCGTTACCGATTCCAAATTACATGACAAAAATTGTAGTTAGTAACGTGATCCATTACAACACACATTTTAGGTCAAATAATCGAATTACTTTTTGATCACTTTTGACCTAACTTGTTTCTCGTATTGATTTAAATAGGATAATCTTGTACCATACTGATATAAAAATGCAGAGAAAAAGAAAATATATTACATTCGTTGTTAATAACATAATGAAGTGCATTAAACATTACGTAAACTGGAGTTTGTGAAGGAATTCCAGGGGGGTCGTGAGTTTAATGAAACGCTAATACTTAATTAAAACATAAAAATGTCAAATTAATACATTTTAAAATTGCAACAATTAAAATAAAGCACTTACTAAAAAAAACAATTTGTATTTGTTTACCTGCATGTCATGTGACTATTATCCAGCGCCACAGAACTGTGAACATGCAAATGCGTTACTTAATTATTAACGTATTACCTTAAAATCTCAGGGGAGGATTCAAATAAACATATTCTGTGAACGAGATTCGGCTTAATAACAAAAGTTTGGGAATCCCTGCATTACATGTAAATAAGAAATAACGTGAATTTGTGCATTTTAATGTATTTGAAAGAAGAAAAGCCTTCCAAAGACACAGTAACACATGGTTAAATAGCCTTCTGAGTGATAATTCAAATAAAAATCGTTCATTAGTAGTTGATGCTAAGAAAACACTTCTTAAAGGTCCCATATTTTACACCTTTCTGGAGTTTTATTTGAGGTTTTGATGTCCTTGAGAATATATATTTGCGGTATAAGTACCAAACACCATCTCAATATATTTGTACAGCTCCTCTCTCAGGAGCTCTGCTGAGAACAGGTCGATCTGGTTTCGTGGTTAAAGTGAACCTTTTCGACATGTTTCCGTGTTGTTGTTGTTGCTCAGCAATGGCATGGACGTGATGTTGTCTGGGGGTGTGGCTAAAGGAGAGCGGGACGGTGGGCGGGGCTCGGACTGAAGGCGGTGACTGTGTAGTTCTGACCTCAACTTTTTACGGAAGTCACAACGGTTCGTGAAAAATCACAGCTACTTTAAGCAGGCTGTGTGCATTTTACTGTGGACTGACTGTTTTGAAACTTATATGGTAGTTACACAGCACCTAGACCTCAGTTATCATGAAAAAAGCCAGGAAATGTCAGTGTTTTGACAATATGGGACCTTTAAAATATAAATGATTTTTGTAAGTCCAGTGGTCAAGTGCTGTGCGGCCTCTCAGTGTTGTGTGTAATAATAGCCACCTGACTAGTGACTGGTCTTTTAGGGACTTTTGTTTGTTTTGTCTTTGTGTGAATGTGCACAAAACTGTAAGACTCCCTGAATGTGGAGGAATTGGGGAGAATCAGTAAATTATGAATAATTTATTGCTATTGTGAGAATAATACGCAATCATGTAATCAATAAAAAAAAGTAACTGGTAGTCCGATTACGAGTTTTAATTTTTTTTTAATTTAATCTAATTACAAGTACTTAAAGGGGTCATATGATGCGATTTCAAGTGTTCCTTTCTCTTTGGAGTGTTACATAAAGAAGATCTGTAAAGTTGCAAAGACTAAAGTCTCAAATCCAAAGAGATATTCTTTATAAAAGTTAAGAGTCAGCCACGCCCCCCTAAAACGCCTCGTTCTAACCCCCCCCCCACCACCACCACATGTCTACATCACTATGTGGGAAGATTTGCATAATGCGTTTATAATGGGTTTTAATGTGTTTGTCTCGTCGCTCCGGCCGGACACGGCATCACAGTATGGTGAGGGGCGTAACATTTCCGTCACACGCTTGAGGTATTCGACCAATCACAACGCACTGGATAGCTGGCCAATCACAGCACACCTCGCTTTTCAGACCGATGAGCTTTGTAAAAATCGACAAGGCGGGGCATAGAGGAGGGTTTTTTTTAACCTTAAACCGCATAAACACATTTCATTACACCAAATACACAACGTAATGTCATTTTTAGCAGCATCATATGACCCCTTTAATTTTTGGAATCTGATTACGTCATCCAGATTACCTGTAACTCGCTGACTCCGCCCTCTTTCCAGGTCGGTTGAACGGAGTTCTAGCGCAGCCGTCAGTGGCCCCGCCCTTTTCTCACACAGCGTTTGGTTGCGCGCTAGGCTCCGCCTCCCTCCGCTGCGTCAAGTTCGTTTGCGCGGCGAGCTTTATAGCAACCGTTGCCCTGAGCTGCAGCGCCATAGTCACCGTAGTCCTGGCGACTGTAACCCACCAACAACAACAACAACAACCTCCTCCTCCTCTCCGCTTCATCCTTACCTCCACCTTCATCCTCATCCTCACACTAGTCCAGGTGAATATCTGCACATTAGCCGCTCGCTTATACACGCGCTCGGTGTTTAACCGCTGCATGATGCTCGTGGCTTTCCGTCTCTATGTAAATATAAAGGGCTTGTGTTGTGGAGGCTTTATCTATAGCTTCGAGACGCTGCTTCTCTCTCCTCGCATCTGCTTTCACTCGTTAAACCTAAAGAGCAGACGACATCCGTCGCGGTCTGAATAGCGTTCGCGA